TTTTTTTTTGTAGCAAAGAGATTTAGGTATACGTTCAATTATTTATCATCAATCCGGTGTTGATGCAAATATTTTTTTTAAACGTATATCTGCAATTATTTTACTTTGAGATAAGTATGTGTGTAAATTCGCCAAGCTTAATTGCGTTCAGGATCTCGCGGGTCCCAACATTGTGTTCCTGCTTCATGTAAAAATGGTACTACCTCTTATTTTTAATATATGTCGTTTTGAGAAGTTATACGTTAATTAAAAATATTTTTTTTGTCAATAATAACATTATTTAATGCAGATAGAAATAAATGTTTTGAGAAAAAGTAAAGAGTGAATATGAAAAGACGTAATGTATTTATTAGCTGAATGAGAGTAATAATGGAAAAATATGTAGAAAAGATCTAAAACGACATTTATTTGACAAATTGTTGATAAAGCTAGAATGACATTTAAAAAAATAGGAGGAAGTACTATTGTTTCACCATATTTCCTTTTTGCCACCTCCATCCATTTTCTGAAATTTTTATTTGTGGAGAAAGCAAATATAAAACTCGTTTTTTTTTTTTTCGAAACGACATATTTTATAGAATAAAAATAAATAATTACAACTCGATATCAGCTAGGATAAGCGAAGCGGCCATCGAGCCGAATTTAGCAAGAGGACTACACAAAAGTGTTTCATAGAAATAACCACACTAACACACCCACTACACAGGTAACTAAACATTTCCACAAGTAGAAAATCAAACATCTAAAGAGAATAATCAAACTTCTAAGAAGAAGAATCACACTCCTAGACAGAAGAATCGCAGTCCTAGTAAGAAGAATCGAACAGAACCTAACAACACCCAAAACAACACAAACAAAATAAATACATAATACTAGAGTAAACCCTTCCCCCAACTGATCACAAATTGCGACGCCACGAACACAACAACCGGAGTCAGCGACCCACACAAATGGGAACCCATCCCAAACATTGATCCAGGAACTCCAGAGACGACTAACTCGGCTAACTGAAACCACGTCAGACAGCCAAAATACCACCTGAACGGACCACTCCAGTCCGGCTACCGGAGGCCAACTCCTTCTCTTCCCGCACAACAAACTCAAACTACGGCCACCAAGCACAACCCGACAAACTCCACCCACCCGCAGCCAAGGCCACATCCTCCTGCCCACAGGCTGAACCTGGCCCGACTACCCAACACATGGGAAGAACAGAAACGGGAAAAAAGAGAACCTTACCTCGACTCCGTCCAACTCCGAGGAGACGATTAAAGCCTGCCGCTCGAACGCCCTCAACGCCCACCGAAGACTCCCTGGACATAGTCGACCTATAGAGCGGCGGAGCAGGTCAGTCGACGCTTCGAGAGAGAGAGAGAGAGCTGCATGGACCGGAGACGGCCGGCGCCGCGGTGTCACAGAGAGCTCATAAGGGGGGAGGCGGCTTGATATTGACGACGACGGTTTTTCTGAATTGGAGATTCTTCTCCTGCGAAGAGAGGGCTTTTTTCTCACAGTAGCAATTGAAGTTGCACAAAGTGATGCAAATCTAAAACTTGTTGATGTGTTAAAATCTTCTTTTTTTTTTTCTTTTTTTATTTCAAACCAAAAAATTATATTATTAGATACTTTAAAATGTACAATTGGGTAACCAACTAATTACATAACTTCGCTAATAAAACTAGAGAAGAAATCCACGAAAGAGACTCAGGGGCCTTCCTAAAAAGCCAAACATGGCTTAACAACACTAACCACGTGAAATGTAGTCTCATTAATTCTTTACTATCAAGTGAATGTAAGAGGCAAATTTAATTGATTACTTTAAAACATACTAATATAATAACCATATGATAAATGGGGTTGAAATCTTTGACGTCGGGTCCAAAGTTATGATACCGGCTCGAAGTTGTCCTTTTTCGACATTTGTTTTGTATGTTATTGTTGTTATTGTGTGTGTTTTTATGTATTTTATTTGTATTCGTTTTATTTTATTTTATATTT